GTCGCCTTGTCTTGGAGTTCACCGTAGATTCATGTCGCACTGCATTCCTGGAGTATCTTGCTGAGAAGGCTCGGTATGGCTCGGGGGCTGTGCCGGCTGTGAACGCAGATCAATTCAATGATTCGCTGGTGATGTTACCATGTGAACTATGTGAGGACAAACTATGTTGGCATTCCTTAAAATTTGTCGGTGGATGGCGCTACAAAAGATTGAGCATAACAATTTGCTGTTTGGCATTCCCTTTAAGATGCTTGTTCAGCACACACACACAATCTTAATGACAACAGAAGGTATCTGCGAAGATGAGAGCTTCGCCCCAGTTTTTTCTGGTTTCAAAGTGTGCAGGAGAAGGATGCTCTGAAAGGCATCTTCGAGTCTTTCCAGAACAACGTCAGGGCTCCCATCACTGCTTTTGCCGCCATGACGGAACAAGCTCGGCAAGTCTTCGAGCACGACGCCTCCATTCCCTTACCTCAGAGCAAAACTTTATGCGACACGGACAGGAATCTTGCTTTGCAAAATGGACGGTAAGATGATTCAGTGAGGCGCCAGAGCCAAGATGTGCTTTGATCATTTGGCCATCAGCCGTTTTGCCATGAAGGATCACAGGGCATTTTTACCGTAACACACGCGTTGATGTGTCTTCAGACCCTGCATAAACTCGAAACATGCGGGAAACAACTTGAAACAACAACTTTTTTTAAATACTTAATCGACTTAATCGTTCTTCCTTTCGTCCTTCATGCCTTGTAAGCACAGTTCCTTTTCCAGGCTTCACAGCAAGCCATTTTCCCCAAGCAACTGTGCATAGTTTCAATTTAAAGCAGGCAATTCTTGCGTCTCAGCATGTACAAGGTGAAGTTCTAAGGTGAAGGATTCCTGTTTGCCTTTGCACAAGTCTAGGCTTCGGAGTCTTCCGTCTGCAACGAGCTTCAATTTCAACTTAGATTGTGCCTGTGGCCAGTGACCATTGCATGTGGCTGAGGTGAAGGCATGATTGAAGGGATGCCCGATTATAGTAGGATTACGAATGCCCCGCACAGAAAGGGAAACTACAGCTTCCAAACCGTCCATGGGCATTTCGATCCAAAAGACTGACAATATCGCCGCCTGCTGATGCAGTAACTTTATTGTAAATTTGGTCTTTAGCAGGAGAGGGTGGGCTTTGTGATTGATATGATTTGGACATCATTTTATCTGTTCGGCTGATGTGTCTTTGCTTTGCATTTGTTCTGTCATGTTCAGTTGCGTTGTTCGCAAGATCCACGTTCGGCCGTCCTTCAAGCCCTCAAAGAAACAGCAGCTTCAGAACCCTAAGAGAAGATCGACGCATGGATAAACCGTCATTAAATACATTTAAATACCAAGTTATGTGTGGACTTAATTTGAGTTGCACTTCAATCAGAAGGTCATCACTGGGGTTCTGAAAGCTCCTCCCCGAGTTAAGTTCAGTGTCCTGCTGCCTGCCCTTCTCAGGTGGGAGGGGGTTGAACCATGCATCGGTGGATCTTAAAATGGATCATTTTCAGCTGGGAAAGGGAAGCGGTTGAAAGATGACATGGTGGATCATTATTGAACATAATTTACATGATTGATTAGGGCTATGTTCCGCTGAGTGATCAGTTGATGCCCTTGGGAGACCATGAGGCATTCCAGATGGCCTTCGGCCGTGTCGTTCTTCTGCAACTCGACACAAAGTTGTGAAACACCAGGAGTTCGGACATGCTTGTCAAAGATGTCTTTGCCAAAAAAACCAGATCAGTCTGTATTTCGCTTTGTTTTAAGCGACTTACAAAAAACCAAGGTTTTTTTTCTGAGTTTTGCCCTCCAACTCCAAGGTTTTCCAAGACATATTTCGTTGAAAAACCGGCCATGAGGTGGATTCATATTTCTCTATCACTGGCATCCCGCGGCGATGAGCCAGCTGAAGCTGTGTCCCTTGGTGAAACCGCAGATTTTTCTGCTCGCTGTGAAGTAAAAAATCCTGAGGACTTCTCAATCTGAGAGCTCCAAGATTTGGGGTGCCTTCTCAGTATCTTGGAACAAAAAATTGTGAGGATGTTTTGTGGCTGTGAATCATGTATCATGCTCACTTTTCTTTTTTTTGCCGGAGTTTCAAACAGTGTGATGATTGCGTGACATGTTTTTTTCCAGAAACAAAGATGCCTTGAGACATTTCCACTCTATTTGAGGTGATTTTCCTCCTTTTTTCCATCATTTTCCACAAAAATCCCTTTGTTCTGTCTGATGTCCCATCTGAGGCGACGCATGACTGGCTCCACGTGACCGGTCCATCACCCATGGTGACCGTGATGTCGCAGCGCGGTCAGCTCTGTGGCTCGATTTTGATGAATCCGGGGGTTGATGTGAGGTGGAACCCGACACAAAAACCAAGGATTTTCCAGCGATGTCCCCAGGTTTTTTGTCCGATTTGTCCCGCAACTGAAAGGTAGCTGCCATCCGTTGCCAACGGCAGGCACCATCTGCATCTTCGGCCTGGCCACCTTTGCCATGCTGCGGCAGATCTATTCCGCCTACCAAACCTTGATGCAGGGCATTCAGCAGGTCTCCAAGATCCAAGAGGAGGCTCCAGTGGGAGTTGAATTTTTCCATCACACCATGGTGGATGGGGGTTGATTGGGAAGTTTGGTTGGTTTGGCTTAGGGTTGGTTTGAAGTAATGTTCTGAATCCATCAAAACTCATCAAAGATCCGATCCGAAATAGACCCAACACATGTGGTGACTGTTGATCTGTTGATGTTGGCTGGTTGTTGCTTGGAGGGGTCAAACATACTTTTGAGGTGGGTTTCTTGTGAGTTCCTCCATCATTTTCATGGAAATTTATCACACAGTCATGCAACTGGGGCGATCTTCGTTATCTCGGTGGATTGGACCATTGGAGGCCCCAGTCCAGATGAGCCCGGCATCTTTCGTGGCTGCTGCGAATGAGGCAGGTGATCCCCAAGTTATCCCCTGTGGCAATGGGAAAATGGTGATCAACTTGGAGATCTTGGGATGTTGGGGAGTCTATTTTGAAACAAACCCATGTGATCATGTGATCCATGTGGCCAAATTGTGGGGCCCCGGGATTTTTGTTTGGTCTTTTGGTTCATACTTGATCATACTTGTGGATGAGTAGAAATATTCCATAATATTCCAATCTTTCTCAGCTCCAAAAGCTATGTGACAATATTTGGCATACATTAATATATACATGATATGGCAGTTTTTCATGTTTTGTCATATTTGTTGCATTGGAATGAGCACAACATGCCGAAAACCTCATCCCTAAAGGGCTTGTTGCGCCACCAGGAAGCCCTACGGCAGCAGCGCGGCAGCGCGGAGTTTCGACGGCAGATGCAGGACAGCCGTATCGCAAGTGCATCAAATGCCCCAGTTTCCATTGCTAGACTGCACAGATCAAAGCTATCACATCAATGACCCTCTGGTAATTTAACGTAGCTATTGAAAATGGCCATTAATAGTGGATTTTACCATTAAACATGGTGATTTTCCATAGTTATGTTAGTTTACCAGAGGGTATGATCTAATTATCAGTATTTTCTTTGGTGAACCATGTTAACATATGTTAACCATTGTTAACCCACATACTGGGGCACCTTTCCCATCGTTGTAGGCCCGCCGTGGCCGGCCCCGCAGCGCCGGCGCCAGCGCGGCGGGCGGCCGGGCGAAGGCGGCGCGGCGGAGCCGTAGCGCTTGAGTTGGCGGGATAGGAGTTGATCCAGACATTTTCAGGATGATCAACTATAGTAACTATATTAATAATAACTATCATAGACACATCAACTATAGTAATTAGTAACTATAGTAACTATATAGTAACTATATATATATATATCAACTATCGATATCTATAGTAACTATATATGAACTATTTCTGGATCAATTCAAAGATCAACAGAATGAACCATATCAAAGCATGTCATGAGAAGACAGTATGAGAAGACAGTGTTGTTTCAGTGAGTTTCTGCAAACTTAAACATGCAACATACCATATATATCCATATATTGTTGATGTTTCTATATGTTTCTCTTGGGTTTGTCATGGCATTTGAGCTGTGCCAAACACAGACACGAGCCGTTGGGCATTGCTTGAGCGCATCCATCAAACGTCTCACCAGGGACGATGGAATCTGCTTGAGTTGGTGAGTTGGAAAAGCCATTTGAATCTGCTGAGTTTCGATGGTGCCACCTTGGTGTTTGGTGGATTTCCATGGACAAAAATGGCTCCTTTCAGGTCCAGCTTGGAATTGCAGGAACATCTTTTGATGGTTTCAGCATTCCTTTCCATCGATTCTCAGCATTGTCTAATTTCCTTGCGCAGCCATTGGTTACAGCACCATGCAAGCCAAAAAGGCGTCCATTGAGCTTTTTTCCATGTTTTGACCTAAACCCGACGGTGTAGAGGACCCAAGGTTCGGAAGATTCTAAGATTTTGTTTGCAAACCAGTGGATGCTTTCGCCAACATTTGCAGAAAAAATTATGCAAGTTTCAATTTTCCTCATCACAGCTTTCTGCATAGAAACCAGCAACCAATGTCAAGTCAACCTGTCAGGACCTGAGTCAACAGGTAAACAGCCCGCTTTGGGGTGCACTGCTGCCATGCTGTGCAGATCCAACTTCCATGGGCTGGGATCCGTCCATGGCCCCTGGGTGCAGAGACGGACCGCGGCTGGGCTCTTGGGAGAGCTTCAAATCGATTCTTGTTGATTCTTGTCACAAAAATGCCACCCATTTTTCCACTGGAAAAAACCAACAGAAAGTCAGATGTAGAATTCCCATATATTCCCATATTCAGATGTTTTTCCACCCATTTTTCCCCCAGCTGATGGAAAGCCGGGATTCCCCGCAGTTCCAGGAGGCCGCCCGGTGGCCCTGCGGCAGGATGGCACCTGCCCGGGGCGTCAGCGGCCCTGGCTGCGGGCGGGTGCCTCCTGCGCCGTGCTGACCGTGCTGACCGCGGGAAGCGCCGGGCGGTGCCGCTGGCGGAACTGCTGGGGCCGGAACTGGCGGCTGAAACTCGGCTGATTTCAGGGATGGTTCAGCTAAGATATGATATCAATTATGATATAAATGGCTATAAGTTATAACTTGTACCCAGCTAAAAGGCCATAAGATACTACACCATACTACAATTATCTATTTGATAATATTTGATAAGCAGTTCTAACCCGGGTTTTTTGTTAGTGTACTGAACCTTTTTTGGCACCTGTCCCATCTGGGCCAGCCAGGATTGGTCAGGATCGCTGGAGGTTGAAGGGATGCAAGTGGTAGCGGCAGATCTTATGGATTTGGAGCGCTGTATGGGACTCGTGGCGCCCGTTTTCAATGTGAAGATGGATGACCCTGGCGAAGTCGAGAGCGTGAAAAAGGGCACCTGGGTGATGACTGGGTGATGAATTGAATCGGATCTTTTCATTACTCTTCGTTGTCCAATTTTACCACTTGAGCAAAAGTTGTCAAAAAGAATCTGATAGAGTCTGATATAGTGATAGATAGATAATAAATACATATGTGGGGATTCTCATGGATTATCCATGATCATCCACCATTTTTTCCATAATTTTTCGATAGTCTTTCCAGGTGATCTCCCCCCCAAGGCATCGCGGGTCGCCTGGGCGCCCGGCGCAGCTTGGTGGGCCGCGACGCGGCCTCGCCCCGTCCGCGGCTGGCGCGGCCAGCGCCGCATGGCTCGACAGAGCGGCCGGAGCTGGGGCTGGTGACTTGGTCAACTGGCCACCAACAGTTGAGGATATGCCCATTATCCCATTAAACATGGTGATTTTCCATAAAATGCTAAGTTAATCATAGCTAATCATAGTTAATCCATTAGGTGATTTTCCATAGGTTTTTGGTATGTTTACCAGAGGATAACACTAAGATATCCGAAAGGATCAATGGGAATTTCAGGATCCAATTGATGGAGGTACGTTAGTACCATATTTCAGGCCATATGAATTGTGGGGATATTCCGAATATTCCCTGAAATTGAGGCCTTAAAAAAGGCCTTATATATATGGTAGGTACCTCCAATCTAGGATCCTGGAATGGCCATTGATATACGGTTGATATAAGCTGGTTGGTGGTTTGGAACCATGGAATTTTATGACTTTCCATATATTGGGAATGGAATCATCATCCCAACTGACTTTCACTCATATTTTTCAGAGGGGTAGGTATACCACCAACCAGTAAATGATATACATCAATATGTATGGACCAACTCGGAGTTGTTTTTTGTTGATTTTCGGATTTCGGATGTGGATTTGTCCAATTTGTTGAGGTATAAATTTTGCATCCCATGTCTGGAAGGTATAATATGTTTTTCTTTCTGATTTTGGACATTTTGGACAATAGCCATGATGGGTTGATGATCAACCAATGAATGGTGGTCCTCCCAGATGGCTGGAAGGTGATCGCCCTGCAACGAAACGCCGACTTCGTGGCGCTGGTGGATCTGTCGTTGTGGCCGGATGATGGCAGAGTGAGGGCACCAGGGGCGACCAGCAAACCTGGGGTGCCATCTAAGCCATACATTTTGAATCTCTGTGTGGAGCCGGATTTTCGACGTCAGGGGCTGGCCAGGCGTTTGATGAAGGTCAGTGAACGGCTGATTCGAGATGTTTGGGGCGATACGGAGATCTATCTGCATGTGGAGGATGATCAGGTGGCGGCCAACTATTTGTACGAGAAGATTGGATATGTGCCGTTGAAGTATACGCCACTCGGCGGTATCAGCATACCAGTGGATGTCTGCTTCTTAGATTTTCTTAGGACATTGGTGATTGGTGTGGGTTGCTACACGATTGGCTTGCCATGATCTTGTTGTCGTGAATATCAGGTACGACAAAGAATGTCCTTACACCAAGGCGGGGTTGAGACTTGGGTCCTTGCAAGGTCCAACGGTTTTCTTTCAGCTATCCTGGGATACTTGGGGTATCATTTGCAACCAGGTTGTAGGAATAGATTCAAAACCACGGAGTTGGCATCAGCTGGTGAGCTCGATAGCAAGGTGGATGATGTGGATCTGCTTGATGTCAGGCAGAAGCCAAAGTTCTTCGCACCGAAGCTTGAAGAAACAGTATGGGAGCGGTCGGTTCCAGGGAAGGTTCACATCAACCAAGGGATGTGGTGTCAGACAACAGTCCACCACCGCTCTGTTGCTCTGTTTATTACTGAAGTAGAGGCCTTTCAACACTCCCCGTGTTTTTACCGGCAAAATCCACTCTGCTCCTCTGGACCCCTGAAGGTCCAGTATATTCCAATATCTGAGGCTTCGTATCTGGTTGACCAGGTTTTCCATTTAACATAGCTATTGAAAATAGTCTATTTATAGTTGATTTTCCCATTAAACATGGTGATTTTCCATAGCAATGTGAGTTTACCAGAGGGTATCATTTGAAATCTGATGATCTGCGGGCCATCTCCAGCCATCTCCCCATCGAAGATCCCCAAGGTGACCTGGCGACGGAAATTCCTGGATGCTGCCGCTGAGGGAAGCCCTGCGCGATCTGGCACCCTTTTGCCCGAGGTCGCCGAGGTCGGATGTTTGGGCTGTGAATAAAGGTGGGTGAAGCCTGAAGCCGGTAGTGACTGTAGTGCTCATGTCAGAAATTTCTCCCAGATCATGGCTGACAATGTCAGGCTGACTCACAATGTGCTGTCTATAGATTCTATTGCTGTCTTGTTTGAAAACTGGACAAATCCGAGCACCCCTGTTTTTTTATTTTGAGGCGCTGGAAAAAGACGAACCTGTGGAGAGCTTGGATGATGATGATGATGAAGATGAGGAAGACGAAGATGAAGATGAGGAAGAAGAGGAAGAAGAGGAAGAGGAGACTCGAAATTTTGGATTTGAATGGATTTTACGGAGTTTTTTTTGGACATTGGGTCTAACTTCAGATGCATGGACACTGCCGCCAAATTTGGTATTCAACATATTTGTGTTTTGGATATTTTTGGATCGTTTGTTTGATGAAAAGATGCCCAAACTCAGCAGCATCTCCAAGTCCCGCAGATCAATGATCTCCAGTTTTTCCGTTCGAAAAATCTCTGCTGACTTTCTGACGAAACTGGCAGGAGGCAGCTCCAACCAAAAACACTGCCGAGGCATCGGCAGTTAGCAGGATGTAGTGCAAGGGTTTTGAATGGGTTTTGACTTCTCGTGTATTATGTGGTGAATTTCTATGGATTCCCAAAGCCCAACTTCAGGTGCTGACATGGCACAATAAGATTACAGAAACACACATAGTGACACGATGGTGTTTTCCCATCAGCACGGGTGGATTGGGATCTTTTCTTTGCTAAGGATGAAGATTTCGATTGGGTGAAGAGCTTGATGAAGTGAAGAGTGGAGACTGTGAGTGGTCAATTTTCCGGCATCCCAAAGAAGGAGGCTGTCACCGAGAAACCATTGGTTGAAAAAAAGGAGACTGCGCAGGTTTCTATGATCAAATTGGAGAAATTGAGAAGCTCCTTGTGGATTGATTTTGTGAAAGGTTTGGCTGGTTTGGCTCAATCAAGTGCTATAGATATCTATAGATTTGTTCTACATCTGATACCACTATGGCAACGAGCACAAGAGGAGCGGAGCCGGACTTCCTGTTGGAATCTTTGTAATTCCTCAGCTTCTTAGCGTCAAGGACCAACGAATGGCCACATTCTTTTGACACCAGCCAAGTATCATCAAGTTTGCCCAGAAATTAAGGCATTGCACGATGGCCGCAAACAATTCAATGCTTGAGACATGCAACAGATTCATACAGATTGCCAGTGTGACGCCAGTATGGGATGAAGAATTAAACAACTTCATATAATCTTCAAGATATTTCAAGATCCAGTTGGAGCAGAATTTGCACCAGTTGGGGGTGGATCTCACGAAATCAGAGATGTACGCATCTCAAGTTGGGGATGACTGGCTCCCACCTGCAAATCGCTTGTGTGGCAGCACCGTGGCTTCCTCAGCGAAAGCGTCCAATGTTTTTTTGTTCCCTGCAGTAAGACAGGACGCATAGAAAATCATGGAACCAGTTTACGTAAAACAGGGAGGTTATCATTCTCATTCGCATTATTAGTTAATTACCAATCTGGTAATTTAACATAGCTATTGAAAATTGCCGTTTGTAGTTGAATTACCCAATAAAAGCTGTGATTTTCCATAGTTATGGGACAGTTTACTGGATGGTAGAATTCTTTTAATTTTTGGTTCATTTTCTTTAGCAGTTCCAGATGTTCCAGCATTGTTCAGGTGATTGGTGCGATTCTGCTGTGGGTCCTCACCATTGTTTGCGTGGTGATCACCACAGGTGTGGGGTGAACTGCAGGGGGTTCCTTCCCGGACATCTCCAGAGCAACAAATGATGAAGGGTGCTTGGAAGGTGATTTTCCTGTGGAAAAATATGATCATATTTTAAGATTCCATAAGTTATAGATTATATATATATATTACAATATATATATATATATATTATAGTATATATTATAATATATAATATATATTTTTTACATCAGATTTCTGGAGCGTGGAATCTGAGTGAACCAAGAAGCCCCTCGGTTTTTTTCCCTGGTTTTCCTCAGGCAGTGTTGTGGCGGTGAAGGAGTGCAGGGATTACTGCGGCTACTGGGCTCAAAGTGGACCACAAACACGACCTTTTTGTATTTTTTCTGGTTGGTGGTTTGGAACATGAATTTTTATGACTTTCCATATATTGGGAATGTCATCATCCCAACTGACTTTCACTCATATTTTTTTAGAGGGGTAGGTATACCACCAACCAGTTTTTGTCTGACGCATTTTATGGAATTTTCTGGATTTTGACCAAATGTCGTGTTTCTGCTGCGCATTTTGACATCCCGAGGTCTTGGTTGTGTGGCCCACGGTTTTCCAGTTGCCTGTGATGGCAAGGCTGAGGCCAGAGGTTTCCGGCAGTTCGATTTGACACTGTAACAGTGTTCGGATGTGAAGTCTTGAAACATCTTGAAACATCTTGAAACATCTTGAAACATCTTGAAACATCTGAGAAACATCTGGGAAACATCTGGGAAACATCTGAGAAAAATCTAGGAAACATCTGAGAAACTGCAGATGTTCGTCATCTTTGCCGTCCCCATGACCCCAGGGGTGTTTCGTTGACTGCGACCGGGGCTTTGAGGAATTTGACAAGGAGGAGGAGCTGGGGATGGTCGGTGGCGGATAGGGAGAAATTGGGGATCAGCAACAGAAAGGTGAATATGTTTGAATATCACCAATGAGGGCCACAGAACGTGGCAAAAGGTACTGTATCCAAACCGTTCCAAACATTTCCAAACTATGTCTTGGTCATCGATTGGTCCTATGAACTCACAACCAAATCAAGATCCCTTTCGTTCTGGCTTGGGGCCATATTAGGTACATATATTTATTGTTTATGTCACGGTTGAACGGTTGAGCCCTCCAATTCCAGCCGCTTCCCATGGCAGCCATGGCAACGGGCAAGGAGTGTATCGCGAGTGAAAAGTGCGAGGACGCTGCCAAAGACGAGCAGCGGATCGCAGAGGCCTGTGAGAAGCAACAGGCCTGCGATGAGAAAGGCTTCCTGGGAAACTTGGTGTGAATATGCTGGGTGGGACGAGATGTGGATGATGTGGATTTCATCACCGTTCTTGAGAGGTTTGGAAGTGGATGAAGTGCAAATAGGGTTAGAAAAAATCTGGAAACGCTGAGCTTTGATGAAGTGCCTGTGAGAATGAGGCACTGGCCCTCGATTCGTCTTGATGCTGGCCATTGTTTCCATTTTGCCGCTTGGTGTTTTCAGTGGCTGAGGGTTGTTCGGCACAAAGACATTCAGAATGAAGCAATACTGCAAGGAAACTATATAATTCAACAAAATGCAAAGTTGTCCCCTAATATTCCCAACATTAAATTATGACCAAGTGAACCATCATAGAAATGGTATCCAGACCTGTTTTGATCGCTTGGAGCACTGGTGCGTCGCGGTAAGAAGAGCGACATCGCTTACATTTTGAAAAGAAATCAACTCTGCAACCAGGCCTGTGGCATCGACCCTCTGCATGGGCTTATACAAGGCGCGCAGTTTTGAACGTTAAACAGCAACCAATACGATCATTCTGGTGGCTTGTACCATTTTTTTTGGTAGTATCAAGTATCAATCGTATCAATCATGTCACCCAACTATTTCTTCCTGCAATTTCCCCTAGAAATTCGGGGACTTCACAGCAAGTGACCATGAGGATACCCATGGATACCGGCAGCCGCAGCCGACCCTGCAGGAGGCCTTTCGCTGGGACGACTCGGTGTGGGAGAAGCTGAATTTCTACGACGGTTTCGGCAGAGTGGTGCTGGTTATAGGTGCCAGGGCTGTGCCGCGGTGCGGGACTTAAAGTCCTAGGTCTTAGGAGTCCTAGATCCATCGGGATCATATCACTCCGCTGGGAATCCAGTTTTGAAGCTGGAACTTGAAGTCTTTTCTGCCAGGCGCCTGCCTGACCATCTATGTGTCTTACCTACTACTGGCCACTTGGCTTGGGTTCAGAGGTCTGGGGCAGCCAAGATGTTTCCCCTCGAGGGTGAGACAACGGTTCCAAACCACCCTGCCGCTGCCAAGGAGACTTACATCAATGGCAGACGGAAGGGAGCCGGGTTCATTGTGTCTCGCCAAAATATCCAAAATGGCATCTTGAGCCGATAGTTCAATAGATTTGATGCAGAGTTCATAGTATTTCATAGTCATTTCAGCACCTCGAATTTGCAGATTCATGAACCATTGGATGAAGATTCATGAACCTGGAATATACAAATACTTAACTCATAAATATGTGAAATCAGGTCACCAATGTCAACTGATTTTGGGTCAACTTCCACCATGGATTCCCAATGGATTCTGTTCCTGGGGTTCCTGGGTCATCCTGAAACAGGGTGCAGTGGTGAGTCTCTTCGCGTTGATGGTGAACTGTGGGGCATGCTTCCTACTGGCGCTAGCGAGGTGCAACAGTTTGAAAGAGAATGGAAGTTGCTGGGAGATTGTTGACTTGATCCTGGTTTGTTGCAAATTCGGTTGCTTTATAAGTCTCTTGCACCAACACTTCGGCTTCAAGTTGTTGAAGGGGCTGGTAGAACGGACTCCAGTGAGCATCTCCCTTGTCACAGGTGGTGTATGTCCAAAAATGGCTATTCTCGATTGGCGCGATGAACACAGTGTCTTCAACATCTTCAACACAGGGTTGTGGATGCAAAGCATGACGTTTCTGATAAGAGCCGGATGACCTGACGATCCACAGGGTCCATTACAGCGTTTCTACGTTTCTATTCTCCGTTTGAAATAGAGACGGATGAGACGGCAGATCATCTGCAGATCAAAGACCAAAAAATCAGGTCTTGAACTGCAGATCAATCCAATTGCTGCTGAGCAACAGACTAGACAGCAACAGAGCCATTTGGACAGTCAGAGTCTCTTGAATTTGGACCAAACTTGGAATTATTTCCTCTCTGATCCCACTTCTGAGCTGGTTTTTTCAATGTTTTTCAGGTTGTTGAAACAGGAATGCAGGAAGGCATTGCAATAAGATGACTTTGGACATCCATGGCTCGCAATTCATCATGTGTCCTCCCTTTCGTCACACGAACTCTGAAGGCCGAGGGTTGAGGCAGATTGTGTGCGCCAACAGTGCGACAGAAAGACCGGCTGGGCATGGGTTGGGTTTTGTGGGGGACGTAGATTGGGCATGCCTTCAATTCTATGGACATGATGACAAGATTGAGCAAGTTCACGGTTGCTGAAACCGAACTTGCAGAAACTTTAGTGAAACTAAACTTGTGATTCTTATCAAAACATATAAAAACTAACCGTAACTAACCTAAACCACACTTTTGTTCACCGCCTTTTTCAGCTGTTGATGAACCGACTTGACATGTCTTGGCTCTGAGCGTGGTGGTGGCTGCTGACGACCTCAGGTTTTGGAGGCTGGGGATTGTGACAGTGCTAGGTTTTGTAGATACAGTCTAGGAACGTCATATAAGACCACAAATAATGACAAGAATGGATGATGATGATGATGATCATCATCATCATCATCGTCATCATCACCATCATCATCACCACTATGATCATGACCATATCAATCCATCTGGTCTTTTCCACTTAGATTGATGATCTCCCTGATGTCGCTGAAACCTTGCAAAAGTGACTCCTGCAGGTTGCTCAGCATGCCAGCAGTCCGGGGACGAGTTGGCCGCCACTCGGAAGCATTCAGGGGGAGTCATGGGCGATTTTCTAGAGATGTTTGGAGGTTTGATGCTTCCCAGTGCTTCCCGGTGCTTCTCGGTTCCCTTTGAACACCCATTGGACCTCGAATTTTTTCAGTGGCCAAGGTAAGCCGCTCACCGAGTACCAGGGATGGCCCAAAGGCTGGGACGTTGAAGATGTTGAAGTTGGGTACAGATGTCTTTGAATCTTTTGAGATTCATTTCGAAACACCATTGATTTGCAAATAATCTGCAAATCTTCTGAGGTTTCATCAGCCGATCACCTGAAATCTCCTGAAATCTCCTGGGATCCTCAGAGCATCTCCGCAGGCATTTACCCCATGAGTGATGGCTGGGTGCCACCGTGTTATCCCAAGGAGGAGGACGATGTGTTTTTTCTGCTCCAACTTTTGTGGTTCATCATCGTTTCTATGATTTGATCGATTTGATGGCCCAATCTGTGGATATACCCAATTTCTCCAATTTCTTGTTGCTTCACCATCTGTTTCCGGGGCAAAAACTCCCCAAAATTGCTGGGACACCGAAGCGCCCGAAAGAGTGCAATTTTGTACCTGGCAGGACTTGATTGCGTATGAGGAGCGCATGAATGCGCGGAAGAAGGCCACCCTGGTGAAGAGGCATTTGTGCATGAAGGAGTCCAGCCATGTGCCGCCATGTCCAGCAGTAAGAAACCGAGCTTTATGGTCAATGGATTCAATGGATGTGGTTTTTTTTGGGCCCACGAATTGACAGGAAACCATGGCTTTTACATGTTTTTGGTGCCGGGCATCTGAGGAGGCCCCCGCTGTTGTCAGTTTTTGACATTACACTAAAAACAACATCATAGACGAGGGGGGTGGGGGGTGTGGGGTGGGGTGGGATAATAGCGTCATTTGCTGTACGTTCTCATGAATGCACTTGCACACATACGTCATGCTACGCTGCTGTACGTTTTCATGCACTTGCACAAATACGTCATGCTACGCCGCTGTACGTTCTCATGCACTTCCAGATCGTAGGGCGGGTGTTAGGTGGATGGTTTTGGATATGTAAATGATGATGATGATGATGATGATGGTGATGGTGATGATGATGATGATGATGATGATGAAATAGCTCCTGACGCTAAAGTTTCGTTTTTCAGCGTTTTGTGGTCCCCCCTGTAAAATGTTTGAAAAGTGGCAACAGCGGGGCCCCCCTCAGATGCCCGGCACCATGTTTTTGCCTCACACCCAGAAATCAACAAAATGTCCTGTAGATTTTCAGCAAAACCGATAGGAGGTCATGTTTGAGAGAGGACTGGATGTCCAAAGTGTCAAATTCTGGAGAGCTGTCGCTGCAGGAGCCGCAACTGCATCAGCTCAGAAAGAGAGAATTTGCTCAGAAGAGTTGGGAATCTCAATCTCAATCAAGGTGTCTTTACTTGATGAAAGATGCCGGTGGTTTATTGGTCATGAGGTAATCAACACAGTTCGATCCATTCATGAAACCAACTGCGGTTGGTGGAAGTTGTGGGCCTGAGGCGAGTATTCCATGCTAGCCTATGCCATGGGAGAGGGCGAATATTCGGGTGAAGGCCTGCAGGGCAAAGAAGTCCCATGACCTGTAACTATCTGAAGCAGAGGGTATCATTCTGGTTGATGTATGCAGGTTACAGACATGACATGCTCTTATATGCAGGCGATGACCGAAGCTATTTCGCGATTGTCTTCTATGAGCCCTCCAAGAAAAGCAAGGCGCGGATGTGGCAACAAGATGGCTAAGACAGCAGCGCACTATACATTTTCTTTTTGGGAAGGTTGGATGGCTGAAAGATGTGATAACCAAGACATCCAAGATACAACTTTGATGATTCAGAAACAACCATGAAGAGTTTTCGGGTGTGTTGGTGGTCAGGTGGAAAGAGCCTTCAAATCCACTGGTTTGGAGCTGGGAGACTACGAGCAGGTGGTCGTGGATCCAGATTCCAAGATGGAACAGGAGGCAGGACATGAGATGGAACGCAGATCCATCGCGTTGAGGATGTTGAGGTAGAGTGAGGCTTCCAGTTATAGTTATAGCGTTGAGGATGTTAATACATGCTATATGAATATATAGATATAAACACAACTATGAATATATATATATATATATATATGACAGGTCATGAAATGGTGCAATTCCCACTTTTCGTTGGTTCACTCCTCTTTCTCGCTTAGATGTTGGAAAAATGGTGGGAGTTTCAACTCCAGGTTGGACAGTTCGGAGCTTTGGCGACGCGCCAGGAGAAATTTATGTATGCGCACGGCGCGGGTGAAGTCGGAGAGGTGATCCTGGGCGAGTCTGGTGCTTAGGCGGCCACAACTTGGGTGGTTGAAAATGTCTTGAGGTGAAAAAAAACACATGAAACGCAGTGTCATTAGATGTCATTAGTATCATGATGAGTATCATGGTTTATTTTGTAGGTACTGTGTTTGCTTTGCTTGGTTGTATGTTGATGCATTTGTTGGGGATGAGAGGCTCTGGTTTCCAAGGTATGATTCATTATCATCCATCATGACAAACATATACAAACGAATGAATGTTCGCGATTTACGTGCCGTCTTTTTTTGGCATGTCCCCAACGATAGTCCAGTGGCTTCCCTGCGTGCTGATTATCTGATGTTCTGAGGTTTGAGTATCAGGTGGTGCGCAAGGGAAGTCCAGAATACGATGACCCATGGGGGCCTTCTCACCCTGAAGGCAGGAGCTGACATAGAAACCTTCCCAGAGGTCATGATCACACTGGAGTGGATTAAAAAAATTGTTCCGCTTCACGTAAGAGTTGGGGGATTCAGACCTTGATTCACATATATCATGTATATATATATATACACATGATGTATATGATTGTATCTTATAATAGAATACTACAATCATGTTTGGACTCCGACAGGAACAATTCCCAAATGCAGTCCCGAGAGCTTTTTGGTATCTAAGATCACGTTTTAGCCGCAGTGAAAAACCCGTGGGCTCACCACAAAGCAGTTGCTTCATCACAGGTATAAATGCCCCTAGAGTGGATTCGCCCGCAACATCTGATGCAAAAGTATGGACGAATGGATTTTCAGCCAGATTTCTTTGGATCCAGTTGCGGATTTCGTGCAGTTAAATGGAGTAGAGTGAGTAGAGTAGAGGTAAAGTAGGGAATACTGATTTCTTCATGTTTTCTTCATGTTTTCGGGCCTGTTCCAACTAAGAATGCGACTGACTATCACGATCGATGGGTTTCCAAGTCATGTACGGCCAGAATTAGTTCTAGAATCCATGAAGGGTAGATTTGACCACTGGTAGTTGGTTTTCCAAAGGCCTGCTAGAAATGCAATAGGACAGAGAAAATGAATGAAAATGAACTCAACACACACACACACATTCTTGTATTTGGCGAATATGGTGACAGAGATTGTACCGAAGTTTGGATGAACAGAAGTGAGATGCTTTTTACAATTCAAACTCTGACACGATGCATGTAGCACCTTGGGAAGACACAAATTGAGCGGAGAGAGTTGATTAATTTTGAATAGGAACGAGACAGCCGAATGCTTGAGTTGAATCTGCTATTTTCTCCGTGTGAAGTAGGGCAATGCAATGCGGAAATATCGTGACGATACCTCAACTCCAGGTTTGCATAGGCCATAGGACCAGCGTAGGCCATAGGACCATGGTAAGTGGTATCTCATGGACGTTGTCCATTCGCCCGATAGACAGTTTGTGACAATTTATGACAATTTATTGAGCATCAAAAAAGCATCCCTGCTCTAATATCCTCTATAAAATGGAGGGGGACGCGGCTCAACATGAGCCGTTTTCTTCCTGATTTTGCGACCGTCCAGTCAGGTGATTTCATAGAAAACAGTGTTTTTTTGTGCTTTTACAGCCCAGCTCTATGTTTCTGCTATGGGAGGGAGTGTCAATGCAACTCAATAGAAAGGTCAACTGATTGGTGATGGTTTTTAACCAAACAGTGTGTCCACAATCAGGGGATCTGACGATAAGAGTAAGGCCGGTGCTTGACCAGGGTGCTCCATCTGGCTTCCGGCATTTTTCCTGTAAATTCTCGCATAAAGTGGCTCTTCCCCACCGACATTTGCCCATGTGTTGGTCGCTGCGATCTGATCAGAAGATGCAAGTGCAACGCATGGTCTTTGTCGATCAGAGAGGTTTTCCCGTTCTGGCTCCAACGCCGCGCAATTGGGCCACGAGCTTCCCTCACAAAAATGATTCTTGCACCACGGGCGCCAGCAATCATGTGAATGAGGCCGGCATTGAACGAGCGCAAACATGAACCGCGCGTTTGACGGCGCATACGGCGCCATGGATCGAAGCAACTTGGTTCCCCTGCCAACGACGGGAAAGTTGGGAGATTGTGCCAGGTCGGTTCTGGGTGTGAGAATGGCCCATGGCGACCGACGCAAGTGGCCACCTCAGCAATGATGGCTGCCTGCTCTTTATCCGAGCATGTCAGCATCACATGCACCTTAAAATGGACATCTGTTGCAATGTTTGTCAGCAAAACCCCAAGCAACCTTGAAATTTGTTGTGTCTGAGGCATGCAGGAGTCGGCGCGAGCCTTGATAGTGGTCCCCTTGTCCATAGATCTCCTCAACAAGAGGAGGATTCTGTTCAAAACACCTGCAGTCCTTGTGAAGTGGGGCCACAACACACGACGGATTCAACGGCACAACTGCCGCAACAGTAAATTGCAGAAAGAGCAACAATAAACCATCTGAATACTAAGAATATTGTGTTGACTCCATGTTTCATTATGAGACTTGCAACGTAAAAGGATATTCCTTTGCTCCGGACTAGAAATCAATGGGTTTCTGTGGACACTTTGCAAGAGCTGTTCTTCCATGATAGCGTACAAATCCAGTGACGCTATGGAACAGAAAGAATCCTTTCTAGTTTTCTAGCTGGCAGTTTAGCATTGCGTTGCCATTTTCCTCATATTGTTTGGGTTGAGACGCCCAACCCACCAAGAACACGCTTTATTTGGCAGGTTTGTTTTCATGGATTCCCCAAGGCAAAACTATGGCACGTCCCCGAGTTCTGTTGTCCCTCTGCCGTTGATTTTTTTTTGGGGGCCCAGTTGGACGAACAGCCTGGATTCTATCCCTGTCACATTGCATCTGGTTGCTGCAATCTTTGCTCTCTCAAGTACTGAGCTGTATTGGGGCCAAAGCGAAGCCTCAAACATGCTTGGAACCCCAAGAGCTCTGTTTGTGCTGCGCTGTGAGACAGTTTGAATTTTGTTTGAATGGCCAAACCAAGTGTTGTCAGCGGAATTTCGGGCTGCAAGAGACTGACATGGCAAGGCAGGCGAAGATAGCCCTCCTGGGAGTGCTGGTGAGCCTGACACGAGTTGGTGAATGAATTGGACCAATGATGGCTGTGAAGTTTGACTGTTCAGCACTGCTAGTACAAGCAACGCATGGCAGGGCACGAGTCAAGCCTTCTACTTGTTCCGATCTCAGTCATAGTGAGACCAGTGGGACCCACCTTCAATCTGCAATCGTGGTATCGATGCAGCTGACACATGAAACATGACGGACAAACCATGACAAAACCACGTATAAGTGTATGAACCGCTGCAAATTTGGTGAATTTTAGAGGCATGTAGGCAGGTGAAGAACACTGGAAGAACATGTCATAACATGTCTTACCCTGTCTTATGAACATGGGCATGGGTCAATGGATGTCAATGCATCTCAATGGTCACTATGGTTGGTGGTTTCAAACATTTTTTATTTTCCACAATATATGGATATATATATATACATATGGGATAACCCTTCCTCCCCATTGATTTTCATATTTTTCAAGATGGTTATTGCACCACCAACCAGTTCAGGTCATGGTCATTGATCCTTTCCCCAAAACACAAAAAACTGGACCAGGCCGGGAGTGGCGCCAGTGCAATATGACGATGGTGCACGGGTTGATCTCAAGGTGAATAAGCCTGGATCTTGGTGCACAGCATGACAGCCTTATGACATTCTATAGGTGTCATAGATTCGTCATAGATGATCTATTATAAGATGATGATGATGATGATGATCATGATCTATTATAAGTCATAGTAGTTTCGGTTTCGTCCTAGGTTTGGTGAAACGGTGAAACTCGTGACTGGAATGTGGCACTGATACGGGGATTTTCTTGAGGCTTACATCAGTGAAGACCCAGCTGCCGTACGACTACTATACGCCCGCCCGCCAGAAAGCACTGCAGAAACCTGGGACACCTGGTGGACACCTGCGCAGGTTGCCATTTTGCAAGCCAGTGTCCGTGGTGCAAAGCGTGGAGAACTTGGGTGAGATCTTAGCACCTCAGCGCAATTCAGAGCTGCGATTTTATCAGGACTTACCAAAGTTGCTGTATTTGAAGATGGCTATCCCACTTGATTTCTGTTGCTTCTCATATCAAGCACATGTTTGACTGTTTGACCTTGAAATCCTTGAACTCCTTGGAGTCTTTAGTCTCAGTAACCTCCAAAACGATTGAAATCCATGGAACAGCAGTTTACCCATTGTATTGACAGGATTTTCCACCATGTTCCAGAATGTGTTTCGTTCTTCACCAAGGCTGGTGATCTCATAGAGAACTCACCTTATGACCTCCGGATGGGTTCAAAGCTCAGAGGAATCCATGGGATGGCATGGTGATCATGTGGCAAAAATCCGTCAAGTCTTCGACGTGGCATGACACGCATCTGCGATTTTGGGTTCCCAAAGGATTTCTGGAGACGATTCTGGGAAGGAGCTTTTTTTGGGATCGCGATGATCGCGGCTGAGGTGACAACCAGAATTGCAAGCTGCTCTGCAAGCAAGAGCTGAAACAGGTCAGTCTGGGATGGGCTGGGCTCAACAAAAACCCACAATTCATGTTAGTGATTAAAAGAGGTCATCCTACTTGGTTTTTCATGATGTGTATATTATATGTGTATGATTGTGACCAGTTGCCAGTATTGTGACCATTGGAAACCCCTCTAGAATTTTATATAGCAGCCTATGATTTCAATCAGGATTTGAACCCTGGAGGATATCTCCCATCCGAGGCGGACAAGGATCAATTCAGAGCCAGGATCGACGATGAATACATGGTTTGCCTCTCAGACTTTGATCTTCAAAAACCCAGAACTGGATCTATTTCTGGGCCATTTCTGGGGTGACACGATTTCAACATATTTTTTCTTTGCCTATTTTCGCAAGTTGGGGTCGAGGTCAACATGATTGTAGACAACCTTCCAGTGGCCTGCTCAGTGGCAGCTGGGTCCGGTCCTTGCGTGGCCGAGCACAAAATTGAGCTGTTGTCCCTGAGGCTGCGACCAAGTACATCCGCAGAAGTGATGGAAACGATTACATGTGCCCACTACAAACTGGACGTAACTGGACTCAGCAGAAAAATATTTGGCGGAACAACTCACAGACTGGATCTGGATAAACAGACCATGAAGTTTTGACCCAGGAAGGTTTTGATTTTGTTTCGTTCTGTGGTCTGAAATCTCAGCCCTTCGAGCTTCAATCATATTCGAGTTCATCCACAGGCAGTAAAGCGATTTCATTTGCTGAGATCTTGAAAGCAAATTCACAGGAGATGCCCCAACCGCTGAAGCCATAAAGGGCTGAAGATCGTCTTGTGAATCGTTGAGATATCTTAAGATCCCCTAGGGTTCTGGTTTTTCTGCTTCCTTTGCCATGTCCAATGTGATGCGGGAAGCCGCCGATGTCTCAGGCCTCGTCACTATTTTTTGTTGTCGGGGATGGGTTGACATGTTGAAGCCATGTTGAACCAAAGATATCAAGGGCCAACGGATTCAGGGGTACCAACAAGGCAGTCAGTTATTTGAGATGATTAAACATGATGAAACCATATGAAACCAAGAGTTTTTGTCACCATTATCGGGGTAATGGCGGACCCCCAAAGCTTGAGCTGTCCAAATTTGGCTGACCAAACCGAAACTGTAGGATTTGATGTGCTCGGGCACTTAATCAAGAACATCCTTTTTGACAGGAAGGATGCCAGCCTTTTTAAAGCATTCCAATTCAAATCCAATTTGACGACTTGGTAGTCCCCCGGTTGGCACTTGCTAATAGTATCTAATAGTCATCAAACCAGAAATCCCCCCAAGTTTACATACCCAATTTGGGGTCCCCTTCAAATATGTCCCAGATGATCAATTATTCAAATCTATTAACCAAGCACTGTGATAGTCATAGGTCAAAAGCGAAGTTTGAAACCGCCCCTGGACAGTTCTACCTCGAGCCATCAGCGAATGCCTGGAGCGTCAACGCATCGAGCTCCAACGAGTTCTTAGCACCTTGGTCGTTTCATTGTGGCTGAGAAGAGCACCATTTAAGGACATGTCCAGCCTGAAAAACATGAACGTTGGGTTCAAAGACGATGCTGTTCACCTGTTGGGTTCCAAAAACATGGATGAAACATTTGAATGGTTTGCAAAGGAAATACGTTCTTGCATTCAATTTCAGCTGAGCCGGCACAGAGGCAATTGGACTGCAGAGTTTGACATCATCCAGGCATACCCGGACGAGAAATTGGGTTAGCTGGAGTATGAGTTACATGCTCAAACTTAGTGTGCCAAAGGGTTCAGAAAACATGGCTTTTGTGGATGTTTCTAAAATTTTCAAAATATTTTGGTACACTACTCAAGAAACGCGGCCTTCAACATCCATGTGGTTTTCCAGCTGGGCATAAGGACTTTTCCGTGCATGGGACCATCATTTTGATTTTTGCAACAGCATACCAAGAGCCAAAGTCTGTCTTCGCGACCAACATTTGATCCTTGTTGGGAAGCATTTAGCCCGGAGTCCACGGGTTTCTTTTCTGAATCTTGGAACATCTTGGAACCGTAGCCAGGCCATACCCGATGTGAAGATTGGGGATGTCAGCAGGGATGGGTCAGTCTTTGGCTCAGCTGGTTCGCTTCAGTTTGACTTGGACTCTGTCAAACATATGGAAGACATCCAGCATATCCAGCATATTCAGCAACCAAAGTTACCAAAGGCATATTCAGCATCTTGAAGCACTTGGTTTGGAACAAAGACCTTTTCAACATGGGTCCAGACTTTCTTCTTTGCTTGGGGACGACCTTAAAAAAACATGGGGCCATGACTATCCATGACTTCATCGGCTGAAAGACTGCCGAGGTAGCTGAGATGCCCGAGACTTTGCCAGTACCAGGTGCATCAGTTGAACTGCGGGGAAACAACACCTAACACCCCGATTTGACGCTTGTGACAGTTGTTTCATGTTGTTTCTGCATTTGAGAAGCAGCACATGGAGCCTCAAACGTGAAGTGACAAAAGCCGTTCGGATCTCTGTGAAGTGACCATCCCGGTCGCCGAAGGACATGTGGAGGAGAATGATCCACAGACGACATCCTGGACTACTGAAGCGACTCGAAATCGCTTGTGGATCGGACACTTTGTTTGGCATTCGAAATGATGAAACATAACATGTTTGTTGTGAATCCTGGGAAAACGTTGAATACCAGGCCTGGAAACACTTCTCCGAGCTTGACTCGGAGAACAGCTATGAAAGGACAAAGAAGAAAAGCTGTTACTGGGAAGGCAGGGTAAAACGAACCGCTGAGGGCTCAATTTGTGGATCAACATCTGTGAGATGTCAGACAGGTATGGAAATGTAGTTTAGAATGTAGTTTATGTTGATGAGTTCAAAATGAGATTCTGATTTGATCCTGAACATGTTTCCTTTGTGCTTTTGGTTGAATCCCCCAAACCTGATTTGATGTGGAAGGTGAAGCACGGAAAGTATCCGTGATACAGCAACCGGAGCAAAGTATTTGGGTGAGGATACAAAAGTCTTGCAGTACCATATTACGTTGCTTGGCTTCTTTCAGTGTCGAACTTCGAAAGATTCAGAGTGGAACCCCAAAATTGGCAGAGTGAGAAAGGCAGCAGCAGGTTCCAACGGTTCCCAAAAAAAAAATCCGATCTCAGAGAAACATGTTGAGGACACCTCTCGGTCATTCTTGGCTTTTTTCAATGTGAACAGGTCACCGGGCTTTTGATCTGGTCTCTGGATCGGTGATTCTCCTGAACGCTGCGTGCATTGGCTGGAGCCTCAAGGGAGGGTCAAAAAAAAGGTGCCTGGATTGCGGAGAGCTTCAAAATAAATCCAAAATTAGGCCTGTTGAGTATTGAAACCTACGATTTGTTTTTAAAGATCCCCCATTTCCATCCATTTCCCAGAAAATTTGGTGATTTGAAGTATCTCAGATTTTGGGTCAAATATGGATGGCCCACATCAGTTGGCTATTGAGGATGTGAAGATTTGTGACTGCCTAGACTGCCTTGAGTGGTGCCGAGGAGCACAAGTGGAGTATGAATCCTGGAACCATGGACCAGAGGAACCCATCTGGAGAGCGATGCAAATTATCTTTTGTACCTTGGTGGCAAAATGGTGGCAAAATGGTGGCAAAATGGTGGCAAAATGGTGGCAAAATGGTGGCAAAATGGTGGCAAAATGGTGGCAATAGAAAGGACCATGAATCTAAACAGCGTGGATAAAGTATTTCGTGGCTGCACGCAATCAGTATCAATTCTAAATTGGAGTGGTGAGAATTGGCCAATATGAGATTTGACTAAACTTGTCGCTTCATTGGAGACTTCAGGGTTTAGGTTCGTCTAGGTCAAGACTTGAACAGATTTATCTCATCCACACTTGCCACTTGCCCAGGTCTTGCTTACACGTTCGAGCTCCTACTCAGCACCTTGAGCAAAGAGATGAATAATCAGAACATCCACTGACTTTTTGGCACTTCAACGGATTTGTTGATAGTAAATGATAGTAAACCATTCCATTTCGGAGGCAAGTGCGTAAATGTTGGTAGTAACGAGCTACTAAATTTCCAGTCTTCTGGCGATTTCCCAGGTTTTTGCTCATGATGTTGCAATAATGCTGCGTTGATTAATCAGTTGCCATTGAACAACCTCAGTTGGGCATGGTGCACCAAGGAGTTGGTGGTCAGGGTCGACATTTCTTTGGTGCCTCAGCTGCAATATGCTGCGCTGTTGCAGCGTTGCCACGCGGGGGCGCGGAGTGTGGCAAAGTCGTTGCTGAGGCGTGGTGGATTGGAGGCTGGGATGGGCTTGTGAGAAGAAACCATGAGGAAACTAGACCTGGAGCCAGTTGAAACGAATATACCCTCTGGTAAACATACAAACATCTATTGAAAATGGCCATTTATAGTGGATTTTCCCATTAAAAATTGTGATTTTCCATAGTTATGTTAGTTTACCAGAGGGTATTTGCTTTTTGGAGTTTTGGAGATGTAGATGTCGATGGATCTAGATTGGTGTAGATTGCGGACGTGACGAACAGATGATGAGGCAACCCGTGATCTTGTATGCGCCAGATACTGGACCAAAGACACTGACCTGTGGAGACAAGACAGAGACAAGACCGCAGATTGTACATGTGCGATTGCACTTTCAACTCGTGTTTTTTGGGCCAGATGGAATGCATTTGACCTCTTCATCACTTTGGCGTCCATCGTTGACGTGGTCATGACTTTCACGATGGATACTGGAAATGTTGGTGCTCTGGGCATTGCGCGCGTCTTGCGGATTGTGCGGGTGGCAAAGATTATTCGTTGCTTGGAGCAACAGTGGCAATTGAAATCAAGGTGAACTACTGTATTTGCATTTTTCTCTGAACATGTGACAGCTTAGATGTTGAGCACAAACTGTTGTGAACAGGAGGGTTGGAAGATATTGGTTCATCTCAAAATAGGACCCTGAAGTATCAGTTTTCAATAGTTTTCATGGAATTATGAACCATAAAATTCTGGGTTTCAAATTTTGAGACAAGCCAGACAGCCCATGGTTCAATTAGTCGATGTCAATTGACGGTCTCGAAAAGCTTTGGCCTGAGGTGTCGTCAGATACCTGCGGAATCTCCGGGCCATGATCTTCACTCTGCTGCACACCTTGTCGTCTCTGGGGTGGGCTTTGGTTGCTCGGCTGCAAGTTGCCATGGCCATGGCTTTGTTGGTTCAGGAACTTGTGGTGCTGTGTTGCTCAAGTTCTCCCAAGTTCTCCAATAGATTTGGTCGTTTTTCACAATGGCGCGATGTCGTCCCACGAGGGTTGGAAGCGTTGTGCTCCTTTTGAGCCTGGGATGGTGGGCCACAGTGGCCACGGTGGCCATGGTGGCTGCAGTCCCCGGCACCATCAGGGCCATCATCACCGATGTGGATGGCACGCTGATGCCTTTCGCCACCAGCTCCAAGTTGTCGAACCGCAACCGGGCAGCGTTGACCGCGGCGAAAGAGGCGGGCTGCGCCATTTCGGTCGCCACGGGCCGCATTCCTGGCCCGTGGTATGACTCGTTGTGCTCCCAACTGCCAGGTGTTTTGGGCCCAGGAGTCTTTTCCAACGGAGCTTTGGTTTTGAAAGGAGATGAAGTGTTCCATGCATCAGTGCTACCTGCAGAGACAGTGGCAACTGTGGTGGAATGTCTGGTGGATGGTCGTGTGCATGGCCGAAAGATTGGGGCTTTGGCTGTGGTCGCCGCTGATGGCTTTGAATATAGCGAGTTGGCACCTGAGGGGCCAACGTGGGTCACACGACTGATCCAACGTGCCGGTGAACCTGTGACACCCAGAGGGTCTTGGAATCCGTGGCTGCTGCAGAGGGAGGTTCACAAATTTGTGATGTTTACAGCACCAGATGACCCCAGTTGGGCTGCAATGGATCAGGTTGTCCCATTGCTTCGCGAGAAGCTGGCTACGTCTGCTACAGTGTTAGATTGTGGTGCGAAGCAGTGTGAGATTCTGCCGCCAGGGGAGAACAAAGGCACGGCGTCATCGGGATTCACCTCCCGCAACCGTGGGTTTTGGCCTTTACTTTTTGAATCTTTTTGAAGAAGTGAAGCAGCACATGTTTTTTTTCATGTTTTTTCTAGAAACGATGGATGCAAATATGTAAAAACTGGCAATTTTCATCGAACAAATGATGATAAACAATGATGATAAATCATGATAAACATTGATAAACCATGACAAATCGGATTGGTCATGACTATTTACTACTCGTATTTTTCTTTTCAGACCAAACCCATGAAAAAACGATGGATGCCAACGAGAGGCACAGGCGTACAACGTCTTCTCTCCGTTCTGGGCATTGATGAGTCTGAAGCGATGGCCTGCGGTGATGCCGTAAATGACGTGGAAATGTTGAAGCTGGTCGCCAAGGGGGTGGCCATGGGCATCTCGGATTGAAGAAATAGCTTGGGGGGATATTGGGGGGTAAGATGTTTTTGACCGTTTTTGGATTTTACAAATTCATCAGGTTGGGCGTATCCATTCTTTTTGACCACATGATTCAGCTCTGTAAAAAGGCGATGGGACTTCCATTGCACAAGCTGCTGCCGATGTGGTCGTTGCAGCGCACACGGAGGATGGTGTGGCCGAAGCCATTGAGCGCTATGTATTGTGAGGAGAGCTGTGTTCAAGCACTGGTTGCGATGTGTTGATGCCTTCCTTTCACTGGTTGCGAATGTCAAGTCCCACTGGATTCAGGCACTACAAAAGGTTCACGTCGAGTAGCAACATCTCGCGAAATAGTTTATATAGTTTGGTGCAGTTCCATTTCCAGGCAAAAGAATCCTAAGCACAGGGCCAAAGTGGAATCAGGCCGCATTGCGCTATACAGGTTGTGCTGGACCCGCGTGTTTTTGCAGACGACCCAAAGAAAGAAGATGCAATCTGTGAGTTTTAGATCAAACAAAGAGGTGCCTGTCGCATGTGTATAGCCTGATTATAGGTACAGCAGAGGTTCTTCTGCGAAAACCAGCAATTCAAGTAAGGTTCCAACACGATCTTGGCAAATTTTATGGCTTCAAACGGATGACCCTAGTAGTGATGATTGAGACATGGTGCAAAATCAGCAGAAGTTGTTGGTGACGTTCACTGGGATGAGGGAACAAATTCATGAGACCCAAAAAAACCAGCCAAGGGTGAGAAATGTGAAGAAAACAGAAGCCAAGCAACAGATTCTGCAGTAAGCTTGAGCCATGCAAATTCATGTTTGTACAATTTCTGGCAGATGCATAGATTTAGATGTGGCTCCTGATAGCAGCGTCGCAGATTTGAAGCTGCAACTTCAGGAGGGGATCTTGGAGAATCAACGGCTTTTCTTTTCTGACCTCGAATTGGATGATTCAAATCATTGGCAGAGTCTGGGTTAGAAGAAGGTGTTGTACTTCAGCTGGTGGTACAATCCGACATCACTATTCTGGTGAGGACCTTGACGGGTAGGATGTTGTCTATTCAGGTGGACTCTAATGATAGCGTGGAACACTTGATGTCGCGATTGGAAGCAGAAGATTCATCCTTCAAAAGATCTCCGGCCATGGTATCAAGGAAGGTTCCGAAGTTGTGGCAATCGTGCGTCGTGAGGCATCGCATGCAGTAGCGCAACAACCTACCGCAGAAAGTTGGGGCAAAGATGTCCCCTGCTCCGGGAGTTCTGGTCCGTTTGTAGAGATAGCAGAGTTGAAAAGTGTGGCTTCTTGCAAAGCTCGTGAGTCAAACCTCGGACGGCCTCTCTTTCCTGATTCCGCCTTTTCTGTCTTTCATGCTGGTGGGGTGGATTTTAGGTGTTCGTGGTGAAACTCCGAAGCCCAGAAAGACATTATTAACACCTATTAAAACATATTTGAAGATGATCTGATCTGGCATTCCTTCACTCTGTGGGCAAACATCCAATTTTCTATGCGGGTCCAACCATTGTGAGCGGGTCCCTTTTTGCAGAGCCAAGTACAAACCCATGGCATCCCATGGCTATAACCCAGTTTACGTGGGTATGCTGCAGTTGTTTGCATGATCGCGCCGCAATGTTAATTTAGAACACCAAATTGGCAAGATCGAATCATTCTCCAATTCAAGGATCATCTTCCAGACATTTCCAGACCTCCATGTTTTGCGGTTTCACCTGGTTTCACGGTTTCATGCGAAATTTCGGTTAAGTGAGGCCTTGATGGCGATGATCATGTTCCTCTTCGCCGTGGCCATCACGGAAGCCACCACTGTTTACGTGGTTCACCAAGGATCGATCGATGGATCGATGGATCGATGGATTGGGCATCGTGTGACTGTGTGAAAGTTTGAAGATTGAGATGTTTGAGATGTGTGAGACGTGGGAGTGGGCATGTCCTGGAAACTTTGAATTTCTTACGGGAAGTTCCTTGGAATGATGAAACCTGATGAATCAATAAGTTCTTTGCCGCGGAAATGGGATGGGCATCTATTTTTGGTCGTTGGATGCGGCAGGAACTGGTGACACTGGTGACACCACTAAACTGATGAGATATTGGAGTTCGATCTTAGGCTGGAGTCGGCTGGAGCAATGAAAGATCTCTGTCATGCTCTGTCCATGTATCGGTGTGCTCCACATATGGGAAGGTTGTGCCTGCCAGGTTCTATGTATACGCTGTTGTTGTCCACTTCTGGTGGTACCAACTGGATAGAGCCCGCATCTGCACTACAAGAGCTACATTTTATCTACCCGATTCTCTTTGCAGCTACGTGGACTTTGGGCATTTTTGTTTGTTTTTTGACCCTGGAAATTTTGGGCCCAAGCGGCCAAAGCCCCACATACTTGTCAATGTAGTAGGCTTGATGGCTGTATTGGCAAGATCCGTTTCCTGGATCTGGGTAGGTTGCTTCCAAACTAGGATTGAACATATGTTGGCGGATGGTTTGCTCAAATGTGAGCACAGAGCCCATTTGCATGGTATTTTATATGATATTACCTAGCGCATCAAGAACCCACAAATTTGTAGGTCTTTTTCCAAAAACCCGGTTTTTTCTTCAGTTATGAAAAAAACCGTTTTTCCTCAGAATTCCCTTTTCTCACACTTGGTGTCATGACATCTCATGATTCCTTCCCCTAGACGATTCAAACCCCTTTATTGATACCAGCCTTGGATCTATCCCTCTCAGTACCCTTCATGTTGATTATACTTCCACCCCGCTGGCTTTGGCTGGCAGTTCTCACAAGAAAGGGCCCGATGCTCTTGGAACATGTCGGACAACATTAAGTGTGATCACAGTCAATCTGGAGTCGTTGGATGATTTTTGGTGTCAGCACACGTGACTACAGATTTGACAATATGTAAGAGCCCCTATGTCTATAGTTGTTTTCAAACCCGCTTTGCTTGCGCTTCCGTGCTCCAGGTCATTTCAGCTGGCACGGTTTACAGTTGAAACTAGGAAAGTATCAGTACAAGTAGAGCCCAGGCAAGCCGGGTCGCGGACGTTTCGAGAGGGGGCAAAGCCTATAGGTTCCATAAAGACAAGGAAGAGCCTATAGGTCCATATAGGAACGAGGCCGTTTGACTCCGTGATTTCTTGGACCTCGATGATGTCTTTGTTCTTGGCATTTCTTGCTTTCGACATGATTCGACATCCTTGTCTGATGATGCCACTGTCTCTTGATCTGCTTGATCTGGCTTGCGCTTGTCATCTTTGAATCTTGACAACCCTTCCTGTTGCCTGCTGTTTGTCTGGACGTCTTTTTTCTCCTTGACGTTTCTCTCTCTCAACTTCCTCTTCTGATGATGGCACGTCATGCGCCGAGAGCCACTTTATGCGAGAAAACACAGGGTTTCATGCGATTCCTACCCTCCAAGCATCACCTTGACGCAACAATTCCACTGCGATCTGCAACCACTGCCATGCAAATCACAATCGAACTGCGTCAGCCAACCCAGCAATTGGAAGCTTGGATGCAGCCGTTCCAATACACATTGCAACTCTAGATCACCAACACATTGGCACAGAGCAGTCGGTCAGCTCATTGAACTGCTTCGTCACCCTGAGCGCCGGCCGCTCGGCCTCCATGTTTACACAGCCAAGTCGGGCTTGGATGCATGCATCAGCGGTAGAACTACCACAGTTGCCCACGCACATAAACTACAACTGCTTTAGTAAAATTTTGCGAGGCCAACTTCAGAAATAAGTTTTTGGGGCCGGGCAGGGATGTTGTGCCCAAAAGGCTAAGAAAGGCACAGTTGCCCGACCCCAATCATATAATGGAGGACGCCAGACATCAAGCATGCGCACTGTGCGAAGGCCTTTGCAATTATTGAACGCTCGTCTCTTTATTATCCAAAACACCGAATGTTCGGCAGTTGCACCATGTTCGCGCATTGCGAGCAACATTTTCTAAGGTATTGTATATATGTTTCATGGTGTTTGCCATGTTCAACGCCAAGCACCCAGTTTTGCCAAGCCGATGCTGATGATCTGTCAGTTGTAAAGCATGTGCAAAGATTGATAATCATATGGTTTTATGCAGGCAACCAAGCAGACAAGCAGTATGTGTCACATGCTCGTCGTCAGCCTCTAGCCACAATTTCCAGTTGAGGTCCTGACGGGTTTTTTCTGTGAGCACGCCTTTGAAATGGCCCGGACAGAAAAGGAATCATTGATTCAGGACGTTGTGGGACCGATCGTCCTGGGGCAATGTGGTTCAACGCTGGAGATTGAAAACAGATTGGCTCAAGCAGCGGGCCTTTGGCAAATTGTGATGCGTTTGGGTTAGTTGAGGGACCAATCCCACCCAACTGTTGACGACAGCCAAAGTGGCAGGAGCAGCTGCGAAGGAAACACATCTACGTGAAACACTTTAGGTGCATTGGGTGTGGGTCAAAGTTTTTATGTTAACATGTTAACATTGGCCGTTTGCCCTTGAGCAAGCTTTGGAAAGTGTTGACCACTGAGATTTTTGGCGTTTGAGCGGCAAAGAAAGTCATGCATGGAACGAACGTCAAGTGTGCATGCTTGGTTTTCTTTGCTGGGGCGTCCTTGCCAGCCAGCGGAGACCAGCAACGCCTGCTCGATCAGGCAATTGTTTGCTGAAGGTGATGCTGACGGCAGCGGGTTCATCAGTTTTGATGACGCCGGGTTGCAAAAAGTTCGCTTTGCTCGTTTCATTCCATGTCCAATAATGGCCGCTAGTGCTCCTGTTGGTATTTGGGTATGTTGCAAACTTCACACTTTTCGGATATGGCTGGTTTCTATCCAAAAAGATCAGCAAAAAAACAAAACATCAGCTGCTGCGTGAGCGCAGCAAATCAGGAGTTCGAGCGCTTTTTGGAGGATGAGCAGCTCCAAGCGTATTTGGCGCATTTCAATGTCGATGTGGACAGCGCTTGGCAGGCGCAGCATGGCTGGGCATCCCCCAGTCCCCATGTGATTCGTTTTTTTTGTCGTTCCTGGATTTACTATAGATACCCTGGGCTTTGAAACTTGCTAACCTGGGTCTTAGATGTTTAACTTCAACACAGCACTGTTGTTGTTGTTGTTGTTGTTGGTTGGTGTTGTTGTTGTTGTTGCTGTTGCTGTTGCTGTTGCTGCTGCTGTTGCTGCTGCTGTTGTTGTTGTTGTTGGTTGTTGTTGTTGTTGTTGTTGTTGTTGTTGTTGTTGTTGTTGTTGTTGTTGGTTGGTGTTGTTGTTGTTGCTGTTGCTGTTGCTGTTGCTGTTGTTGTTGCTGCTGCTTGTTGCTGGTGTTGGTGTTGGTGTTGTTGTTGTTGTTGTTGCTATTGCTGCTGCTGTTGCTGTTATCATCATTATTGTTGTTGTTGTTGTTGTTGTTGTTGTTGTTGTTGTTGTTGTTGTTGTTGTTGTTGTTGTTGTTGTTGTTGTTGTTGTTGTTGTTGTTGTTGTTGTTGTTGTTGTTGTTGTTATTACTGATCAATGAAGAACAAATGAAATCCGAATTTCTCAGACTCGCAGGTGGTGCATTCATGTTTTGTTGTGAACCAATAACCAAACACCGATTATTTTCCGATGGCCAGATCTTCCGGCTGATCGACTCCAACAAGGAGATTGTTGAAGGGTTGCCGCAGGGTTGCCATTAATTGCAACGAAGAACCAAAAAGGTTTGTTTTCATCATAGGGCACTTCAACTTGTGCTGGTTTATCACCATTTTCCCCAATTAAACCAACCATTTCTATCGGTATCCACATTTTCAGACATAGCCAAATGGAGGATTTTGGTCGTTTTAAGTGGCAGATTTGATGATCCATGTGCATTCAGCGTGTCACTGTGCCAACTCGGTCGATTCCGGTTCAGTCTCAAGCAGGTTTAGTTTACCAATCACGTTGAAACGGATAGGGTTCAAACTGATTTGACCACAGTGTTTTTAAATGGTTCACTTCTACTTTAGCAGTCAACATCAATGAATAACATGATTAACTGATTAACCTTAACAAGAAAATCATGAAACAACATCAAAATCACAAGAAAAACAAATTCTTCATATTTGTTCAACATTTGTTCAACATTTGACCATCAAATTTGGTCCCCCAATGGCCCTGCGATACCTCTGCAGGACGGCTCTGTGACGCTGGAGGAGTTCATCTCGGGGCTGTTGACCATGAAGGGCCCAGCGAAGGCCATCGATGTGAAAACCATCGCCGCTGGTCCCGGTGATATCTGGGGAGGATATCCCCCAGCATTGGAGTATCAGAGATATCAATAGATATCAGATATCCTAAATATGTGAACTATGTGGAAAATTGGATTGGATTTGGGGATTCCACATATTTTGCCATAAAATCGGAGGTTTGGGATGATGAAATTATGGGATTTGAGGGTTCACAAGTTCACAAGTCTGAAACATCATATGGAGATGGGATGGGTCATATTACTCTCTTGTTTGGGGGATGAAGAGTCACATCCGTCCCGACTTGTGAGAAAATGCAGAAATGTATCCTGTGATTGAGATGGCAGACGGAAAACCCAGTGAACTCCAACAGGGACTTTCATACATATTATGGATTTTTATCCTTTCATTCTCTGGGCGTGTCTTGTGTTTTCGATCAAGTTAGTGTTTGAACTTACAATCTCAGTCAATTACCTTCAACTGCGACACCCGTGGAGTTTCAATTTTTTCCCTCTCTCTGGAGATCTCTGGGGCAACTGAGGGCTATGACATTGGCAAGGAGTTTCGAAGAATGAAGCGACGGATGCAGAACCTCGTCCTTTCTGCTGTCTGTCGCAGCCCCATTGCATGTCAAGGGAGGTGCAGTCCATTCCATTTGAACCTTGAAAATTCCACTGTGATATGTCGAAGTGGCTCTCATTTTCAGATCATGAGTCATAGGATGTCATAGTCATAGTATGTCAGTAGCGAAGAGGGTTCACATCCAGCAGCTTCTCAGTTGCTGCCTGCTGCAGCCTAGGAGTGTCGATCATCAGCTCAAAGAGATCCGCGGGATGCTGACCAAGTGAGAAACAGCGCCACTTGGCATCGGGTCACATTTTCTTTTACCCCAGAAAGATTGGATGGTATTTGGATATATGGGGATCCGTCTCCATAGGAAGATTATCAAATGATGAAGATTATTAATGTTATCAATGCCTGAAGTGACCAACACCTCGATGATGTATGATGGATGATGATGTTTGGGCCCACAAAATGCTCTGAATTTTGACCCGCACCCGACGCTGCCCCGTTTCTGCGAAGAATTGTGAAGAATCTCATTGGAGCCAAAGGTAGCTCTGCTCGAGATTTGCAGCAGAAAGCAGCCCCCAAGTCATGGGTTTCAGCTGTTTCAGTACTAGAATGGTGTAATGACTGGGATGATTTGGGGTACCTTCATTTTAGGATACCTCCATATGTAACCATGCTCCAATGCTCTAATGCTTTTCAAAAATCACAAGAGTCGCCACATGACTTCCGGCAGCTGCAACAGTGAATGATGATGGCCGACTCCGAAGGAGTGGCTGTTGGGTGACGCCCAGTTTGGTCGGAACCAGTTTGGTCGCAAAAAAAGAGGTTCAGCGGCAAAGCATCCAGCTGAAATTTTCAGCTTGCAGGAGCATCACTCGGAGGATTAGCTGATATTTTCCATGATTTACTCACAGGTACATGAATGGCTTTCCGATTGGAGTCCAGAAGAACAACAAGTGCCCAATCAGGATGTTTCTTGGACACATTCCATACATGCACTGTAATACATGGTGCATAGTATTTGAGCTTCAGGTACTACATCTACAACCATCTGAAGTTTCTGCTCAAATACCACTCCAGCCTTGTTCTCAGCTCCAACTCAGCTGTATCAAGTGGAGGTTTCCCACCGTCCTGTGGTTGGAAGGGTTGGCGCTCTGTGAGGCGATGACTTTGATGGTCACCGAATTGTTGGTTTCGAGGTGGAACCCCACAGTATCGTGCAGGCGGGGGGCGAAAATATGCGAAAATCGCGTAGTGAAAGACCTGGCTGCGGGGAAAAATGGATGAAAAATGGATGAGAAGTCATTGAAAGATCTTTCAATGTACATACTACATAATCATACAACTACTTTTATATACTTTTAGATCTTGCTTCAAGATTTAGATGATTTAGTTGAAGGGACGAGTCTGAATGCGGATGGTCAACCCTTGACATTTCACTGCATCCCATCTCCACAGACCCAAGAAATGGCACTAAAAACGAACAAAATTAGTTCATCCAAAACTCATCCGGATTTTTTTGATGGTTGAGTACACATATGTTGGGGATTTCTTAAAGGGCCATGGGTTCATGGATTGGACACCTCCGCCTTTAAGGCGACACAGTCGGATCCCGCGCAACCGGGTGGCCTGAAGGCTGTGTGCCAGGACGCTGGTTGTGGTGGATTTTCACCAGCAAATGTTTTTTTTTTTTTGAGGGCCATAGCCGAACTGTTGGATGGCTGCTTTTTTTTGGATCTTGGGATTTTTCAGGATTTTTCGATGGATGTTGAAGTCTCTTTATATGTTGATACATGCCTTACCCTCTGGTAAACTAACATAACTATGGAAAATCACCATGTTTAATGGGAAAATCCACTATATTTATTATAAATGGTCATTTTCAATAGCTATGTAACAAATTACCAGAGGGTAATCTTGATGTCACTTCTGTATTTGGCCGGATCGACTGATAGGAGGGAGCAGAGGCGACCCTGATGGAATTGGATTCTTACCCAGTGCTGCCTGCGAAGTTTTACCTGCGCATGTTTCATTGATGCATGTTGATGAATGTGGTTTGGTATCATCTGAATATCTGGTATCCAGCAACTTAGATGACTTAGATGATTCATCACTGTTAAAAATCAGCATTCAATGCAGCCATCAGTTGATGTAGACATGCGGCATGTCATGCTGAGACATGCTGCCAGGAAGTGATTTTTACCTACGATGTTACTTGGGAATACAGTTCGATGTCCCAGATCAGATGGAAGTTGTGCCAGAAGTGAAGAAACTGAAGATGTAGGTCAGTCAACGTAGCACTGGTTGATAACTGGTATCTATCAGTGAAGAACCACTAGGAATTGAATGTAAGCGACCCCGAAACTTTCTGAATCAAAGGACGTTTTTTTGTCATCCTGGACATCCTGGACATCTGAGGTGATATTCGATGGGTCTCAAGGTGGGACAACTACCTGAAGATGTGGTGATCTCGGTGATCTCAGACATCCCGGGTGATCTCGGATGCATCGATTTGGTCCATGTCTGATCATCTCGCCAAGGACTGGTGACAAGATTCACTGGTTCGCCATCCTGTTGCTTGGCATATCTTGCCATGAATCAAACAATGGAATACAATAAAAATTGTCCATATTTGTCCTCCAAAATGTCTGGACGCTATCCACTTTGATGATCCCTGTGTTTTTCTTGGCGGGAAATCAATGAGTTTGATATTTCGTGCATCCAAGTATGCTTACATTTTCAACAGGCGCAGAAACACAACTCCACGAGAAAGGTCCCAAGGTCGCCAAAGTCCCCAAAGTCCTCAAGGTCCCCAACAGAGGAAGAGACTGAGCGGAGCTCAATTCTGCAGGAATTCCTTGATGATCATGCTCTTCTTGTCCGGCATGGTCAGGGTCTTAGCGTAGCTCACGCAGAGCTCAACACTCTGGTTTAGCAGACTTTGGTTGGGTGCAGCACTGGGGATGTCACAACATGTCACAACGACAATGGGGGAAGAAAAGGAGAAACGAAAAACATGGTAGAACCAACATGAACCAACTTTGTTGGTTTTTATTTTTACCCGCCTTATTCTCATTGCACACCTTTGACAGCGCACTACTGGGAAGAGCATGTGTCCTGCATCGTGCGCCTTTCGTTTTGAAAACTCCAGCCAAGTATGCAATCCAAGGTAGCTATGATCCTGCTGCGGACCTTGTATCGTGCCTTGGCAGGAAGAAGTGGTCATGTCATGCCACGACTTCCTTTCTTGACTTTGCAGAAACCTCATTGGTATAATCCTGTTACGATGGCTGGTATTGTTGAGGTGACATCACCAGGTACAACGAACTCGCCACAGCTGAAGAAGCTGCAGAGGAAGGGGACAAACGGTAAAGGGATGGGTTTGAGATTGATGTTCTTTGCTTTTGGAGGCTGGGGATCTTTTGATGCTGAAATTGGTGGTAAAAGCTTTGAATGGATGAGGGGGACGATTGCTGAGTTCTATGTGTGAGTTTGATGCTTGTCTGCCCCATGTGCTTCGTGGATGCCAAAGACATTGTTTTCTCTGCGCGGAGACCCAGATTCAAGCTCAGGAGATGCCTTTGCAGTTTGACAGTTTGGCTTGAGTTCTAGCAGGCTTAAAGTATTTGACATTTTATCAACGCACTGAAGGCGAGCCATTTGGGTCAAGAGTGCACGAGTCGTCACTTTTCTGGCTTTCTGGACAATGGTCCAGATTGATTTTGCTAGGGAGTTGCGCGCTGTTGCACTAGCACCTGTCGACGCAAATGTGCCTGTCGATGCAACCGCAAATGTGAATCTCAACGCAACCGCGAATGTGCCGGTGAATGTCAATGCAAGTGCCCATGTGCCTGTGACTGCCACGGGAAGTGCAATGGTGCCTGTGAATGCCACCGGAACAGTCCAGGAACGTGCAGTCACCTTTGAGCCTGGATCGTTCCAGGCGCATATGTGGCCTGGTGCTAACCAGGTGTTGCCAGATGCAGTGCGCAATGAATTTGACATGAGGAGCACCAACCACCTCCACCTAGGGCAAGGTGCCAATGTGAGTTGCTTCAACTGCCCTGGCCTGGGCTCGTTGTGTGAAAAGATGTGTGGAACTAGCAAGCGGCCAGCAAAAGATGTTGCACCACCTGCCCCAGCAAGTCCAGCTGCGCCAGATCCAGCTCCACCACAACAGAAGCCAAACCTGAAAGAGGATCAGTTTAGACTCGCTTTGCAATCTGGCTGTTGGGTGCGACATGCTCAATTTGAGGAGTGTGAGGGTGTCGAGAGATGCAAGAAACCTGCCTTGCTGAAACTCAGCTTAAAGTCGCAATACAGAGCTGGTCAGATTCAGATGAAGAACTGGAGACTGAAGCAGTTCAAGTATGATGATGACCTACCTGAGCGGATCATGGTCCTGCTTGGTCTGGAGGAGGCAGGCAAAACAACTTTCCTGAACGGCTTGGCAAACTACATCATGGAGGTGGAACCTGAAGATCCTTTCAGGTTTCAATGTGGTGATGCTGGTGGAACCACTGAGGTGGCCCTCTATACGCTGCCCGCCTTTGAAGGCAAGCAGTACGCATTCAATTTGACAATTGTGGACACTCCTCCAATTAGAGATCCAGATTCGATGTTAGACATCCTGCGGGTGCTTCAGGAGAGCATCGACGCCGACATCATTGGAGGAGTTGATGCCATCAACTTCATCATGCGTGAGCCTGCCTCCACTAGTGGGAGCTACAAGAGTGATCCATCGCTGGGGAAATTATTCCAAACACTTTACAGCATGCTGCCTGCTGCCAACATGAATGTCCTTGCTTCGTGCAAAGTGACAAGGGGCGCCAGCAGTGAATGCTTGAAAGACTTTCTGAAAGAGAATCGGACGATGATTCCCCGTGCCTTTGCATACAACCTGGCGAGTCTTTTTGCGGACTTTTCTGATCTTAGTCGTGAAGAGTCGACTCATTGCAAGGAGATCTTCAAGAGCGTTCTCAGCTCCCTCATCCACTGCCAGAAGCTGTGCAGGATTGCTCCAGTACAAGCTCTTTCAGCTCAACTGGTGGTGGCGTCAAAGGCTTTGCCAACAGAGGCAGTGAAAACAGAGGCTGTGACAACAGAGGCTGTGACAACAGAGGAGTTGGGCCAAGCAGCAGGACTATATTCCAAATGGGAAGAAGAGCTTAACCAGAGCTTCTTGGACATTGGGGAGTGGTGCCAGCAACAGCACGATAAAAGGTGGAAAAGCAGGCACCCTTTTCCTTCAAAAATATTCAGTTTGCTTCCAGAGGTACCTTTTGATCCAGTCAAAAGGAATGAATACTTCCTTTCCAAC